GCAGGCTTGTCTGACCGAAAGCTGAGACAGTTTCTCAGTTGCCAATCGGGAGACTCTTGGAGCGCCTCCCGGAAAAGATCATGAAAAAAGGACAGCGTAACAAGACTTAATCAGAGTGGACGCAGTAATCCCAGGATGAGCGACAATCCATGATGGATCCACGCCTTCTGTAACTTATAGCAAAGTGATCTATTTGGGTCCATCAGTGGACAGCTATAGATGGGCAGGTAGAACTTCGGCGCCCACTGTTTTTCCCGTGCTCCGCCCATAGTTGCAAAAGACGCTCGCCTGCCGGAGTTAAGCTCATACCTATCACATGGCCGAGCTTCTGAAGAGCCCACAAGACCTAGCGCATCCATATCTCCTGCAACAACAATATCCGGATTGTTGACACTGCGAAACAGCGTATACAGTCGTTGTTAGTTGTCATTGACAGCGTCACCACTGCAGTCGGTAGGCACATAAACGGCGATCATAAACAAACAGCGTCAAGTACTAGTTAGTGAAGTAAGCTTAGTTGAGGTCGTTAAACGGGCTACACACAAACGGCTACTCACAGGAATCCAATCAATAAATGATTACTCGCCTTATAGCTGAGAATGATGCCCATCCCAGATTGACCAGGGATTGCCAAATCGGCGTCTCCTGGTGCATGCAGCTAATAGTGAGAGGAAAAACCAGGCGGTTAATTCATCAAGGACATGAGCGCCTTTGATCCTAGTTTCGGACAACAGCGAGTCTCTGTCACAGCTATGTGCAGACAATCAGCTGTTTCCTAGTATTATCGCTTTAGACACAATAGGCGCCGAAGTATCACTTAGCGTCCACCTGTAGCTGACCAGGCGATGCACCCAAATTGTTCACGAGGCCATAAGTTACAGGTGCTATAGTTCCACATTGAACTGTCGGCCTTTCTGGAGTACTTGCGTCGGATCGAGTCATGCCTTGGTACGCCGTCATTTCTCCATGTACTTTACCGGGAGGAGATAAAGAGTCTCGTTCGATTGGTAACTGAGAAATTATCTCAGCCCTCGGTCAGACAAGCCTGCCAGGATGCACCGCGTACCGAACTTTCGCTCTCTTGTCCTAATGACACTGAACTTCAATGGAATAGGATATCAGCCGTCATGCACGACGCAAGAGCCTCCGTTTGTGTCACTATCAATCGTCAACGCACCAGGCATTGGGTATCCGAGAAGTCGGTGAACACGTTGGAATCCAGAAGAAACCTCTCGGCTGGCACTAGGTACAATGTAACGGGACGGACTATTAGGCGCGAACTAAAGCGAGACCTGCTTGCTGACAAAGAAGCCTGGTGGACCGCTCGGGCTCAAGAAATGGAGGAGGCTGTAGCAGTAGGCAATTACCGCAAGCCCTTCCAGATAATGCGCACGACTGGTCCTAGTGTGACAATCAGATACAGCGCGGGTGCAGTGATTCACAATAAGGAGTGTTGTATGGCTCGTTGGGAGGAGAACTTTCGTGAGCAGTATAGTTGTCCCCTTGCTTCTGGACCTATTCCCACTCAGGTGTTGTAGGTTGAGCCATAGCTCGTTAGTTTGGAGACTTCGTCGGAGGCTGAAATCCGAAACATGATCGCAGACCGTGATCCTTTTCGAGCTTCTGGCCCGGATTCCATTTCACTCACAATATTTGCGAATGCAGGTGGAGTCCTCTACAAACTACTGGCTATCCTTCGCTTCATGCTTTGCTACGCACGCTCGAAGTGCAAAGCGTTCCTCCAAGATTGGTCTGGACCGCCTCCCGCGCTGAAGCTTGGTGGGGAATAACTAGAAGTCGTTCAAAAACGCAACCACCTGGACAGTTGTATCAGCGCCCGTGGGATTGAAGATGAGACCACTAACCGTATAGCAAAAGCTCGAAGTGCTTTTGCTAACCATCGCCACTTATGGCACCGGCGCTACATCACTGTCGCCCTGAAGGGTAAAATGTGCAATGCAGCGAAACGTTCGACCCTACTGTACGGTTGTGAAATTTAGCCCCTTAGATCAGCGGACATAAAGAGGCTAGTTACGTTCGACCACTGGTGCCTTCGCAATTTGGCTCACATCTGGTGGGAAAACCGCGTGAGCGACGAGCGTGTTCCACGCCTTGTTTACGGCACACAAAAAGGAAATGAACCGCTCACCACTGTTATTTCACACGCCAGGCTCCGATGGCTAAGCCACGTGTTACTCATGCCAGCCCACTGACTTCCGCGACGTGCGTTGTTTGCTCACCAGGGGTGGAAGAAGTGGAGAATTGGCCAAGCGATGACTTGTTCGAGAGGAATGAAGGTCCTCACTTCGAAGCTGACCTCCGTTGTAGTGTCTCGGCTCCGTGGTTGGGGTCCGAAAGACGATGAACACGTTTGGCTGGATACACTTGCTGATATGGCTAGAGGCCGATCTCACTGGCGTTCGTGCTGTGAGTTTCTTTGTCGCACCCCATCCCTGTTAGATTCCCCCTCCAACCACGATCTCACTACTTAGCTTTATATAATTTTGCATAGTAATTTTTGATTGCTGCATAGTAGCCGGCTGGTCACTTACCGGAACGATGCCCATCAGTTGCCGGTAGCTCAGCTGGCCTGTATCTGTGGTATTTTTGCATTTTTCTTTTATGTATTGCGGCACAGTAGCTGAGGTGTTTCCCAGCTCTAGCTAAGGTGTATAATGACGATGATGGACTTGACTGGCTGGCAGCAGCTGAACAATTCAAACGGCTGTTTTTGATTCACCCTAAACGAAACTCACACTGTGACCTTGGCCTAAAAGGCCTGTACCGATAGCTCCGGTTTCTTTGGTTCGTTGAAGTCAAAAATACTGATATGAGGACTCGTTATTCATCCTGATTCTGGGGGTCTATTTTCGTGCTTGTTTGTACGATCATTCAAGCGTTGTTATAGGCTCGCGTAGTACTCACACAACAGGCCACATACGGAGACAGACACGACATTCGCGTCGTTGCAAGGTGTGGTTTCGACGGGATAACAAGGATGAATTCCCAAAGGAGTTAACACCAATCATTGATTATCGGAGAAGGGACATCGATAGCATGTCGTCAGTTAGTACGGATGCTTCGGTGGCGTGCAAGCGAAAGCGGATGTACGCGTGTGGCTTTGTTGTCAGATCTAGGTGGGAGTGGAGAGTTAGGTCCACGGTACAGAAAGCGGAAGTCAATTGGTTGAAAAGCTACACCATGAATCCCACAATGTTTTAGATATACACTCAGAACGATCACGGCGATAGGAACCGTCGAGCTACAACACGCGGATCAGATGAGAGTAATTATAAGCACCAAGAACTGCGCAAACGAAACCAGTGATGCATGTCAACGAAGTGGCCAAGAGATACCTTGATCGAGACCGGAGCTTCTGCGACAGGAGACACAGTCAGAGTAGCAAGGAGCTAAAGTGGAACATTAAGTGTAGGTGACAGCGCTGCGAACATTAATCACCACGAAAGCACTCATGACATGTAAATGCCATCGAGGGTGCGTGTAGTGGCAGCTGTTCGTGTTGACCAAATCTAGTGAGAACGACCAAGGGCCGCTGGTGATCGAATGCTTGCTACCTACCGAGAAGCAACTCTTACACGAGTCAGCGATCATTATTTTTCAAAGCCGTGCGATTAAACAGCTCTATCCGCCGGAGGCATCCTCATCAGCAGAGACAAATTCGAAATTGCTCAATGGAGCATAGTGTTTCGGAAGTTGATGGATTTTGACCGCGACCCAGAATCAGTTTTACTTCGCAGACATATTGGACTAGCGAGTGCATGTATGGTCGCCAGCGTGCGATAAGAAGGTATAACTCGTATGGTGCTCACCTGGAGTGATTCTGCGTTACAGGAACTTCCCGTTCATCAGTGATGTATGAAACAACACGCAACCGTAAAAAGAATGTTGAATACTGGATGGAATGGATGGATGTCTTGTGCAGCTGCATCAGCCACAAAGATCAGTTATGTTGGAGAGTATTCGCGATATTGCACATTGGCAATTATCGTAAAGGAATTCCTTGGATCCCGACACTGAGTTTGCCTCGACCACGTGTGGCTGAGGGTGCTCCAGTTATTCACCACTCTCCGTTTTGAAACAGAGGAAACATTGTTACTCTCAACTCTTGGTAATAACCCAGGCCAAACGGACGCAGTATGTGTATCGTGTAGAGTTAGCTGAATCGACGACCGTGAACCCAGACTGTTGTGTTGTGTCAGATAGTTAGGGTAGACCAACCCACAGTAAAGGAAGAACAAAACGGCGAGTACGCGGCAAGAAGTGAATCGAATTTTACTGGGACAGACTGCACTAGTTATAGCCTAGTCGACCATGGGTGTTGACCTTAGGTAAACATTATAGTCTGTAGTCGGCTGATCGATGCCATTCCGACTGACCCTTGGGTGTGAGTTTGTTTTGACCTCTTGACCTCAGCCTGTTCTGACCTTTCGGGTATATGAATGGTTTGACTACGGGTCGCGATCTTCGTTGATCTGCGCTCGGGGAACTGCCCCTCCTTAGCGGGTAGGGTACAACGTCACTGTGCGCCAAGAGAAGACAACGAACGAGACAAGAAAGCGCAGGAGAAGTCGACGCGAGTGACAGTTACTGGAGTTCGAAACGGACCCCACCTAGCGTTGAAGCACATTTAAACAATCATAAAACAAAAATATCCATATCAGAGTGGATTATCGTGCAACCCGAGAGGGTCCCATGTCAGAGCAGACAAACGAGACCTTCCACATTGGATTTGTGGGAGCGAAGAATTCGGAAACCATCCACACTATTTTACGTGCTCTATGGGATCATCCTCAGGGATTACGTCGAGGTGTCGTTGGCATCAAACCGTTCTGCATGTATAGACATCTCAGTGATGGCTGGCGAGCTCAGACATAAGTTTGTCACATGGAACCGTATGGAAAACAGCATATACATATGTGTGTGTGTTTGAGTGTAAACGTGTTCAGTGTACATTGCGATGAGCAAGAAGCAAGACTAACTTCATGACCACAGCCTGCATGAAGTTCTCCACCAACTCATCGTATCGTTCGTCGTGAATGCGGTTGTGTCTGACGCCTGTGTAGATGGGATCCTGAGAGGGAAGAGAGCAAAGAATTAAAAAAAACAGGGTAGAGATGTCAGGACACACCAAATGGTCGACTGATTTGTTCGGACAGAGGGATGTGCAACCCCTCCCACATAACGCAGTAAAAGAATTGAAGTGTGAATGGAACCGAAGTTTGTACAAATCGCGTAGGTTGACCAACAATGTGATTCACATGGGTGATTTAGGACAAAAACGAAACCTGATGGACGTCATCATGCAGGGAAAATGAGCGCAATCAGAATGCATCGGAAAGGCGCCAACTTGGTGTACGAGCGGGTCAGGTTGCGTGTACAGCGGTTGTACACGCCCTCAGCTTGAGACAAAGTTTTATCCTATACACTGCAGTCTGCGTTGAGGGAAGCTACGCCGATAACCGTATCGACTACTGTGACGAGATGGGTGTTGGCGTCTCGTAGAGTTGCTTTAGGCAACCAAAAAGCTTATATAGTCTGCACATCTGAATGAGAAGAAGAAAAACAAAATCCCATTAACTGGGTGAAGAACATAGCTCACCCAATCCAGTAGGACAGAAGCTAGTCAGCACACTGGGTATACCAAAGGTCATGGAAGAGGATAGGCAATGCCTAGCAACCTTAGCACACCATACCCGAAGCAGCGCGAGAGATGAAAGTGGCGGAATAGCCGCCACAGGACTTCCGAGTGATTAGTTCGGCGCTAAAGAAATGCCCCGTTAGTACTAGGATAAAGTATCTCATGAAGAACGCAATCGAAACACGCGATACCGAAACAGATAAGATTTCACTGTTGAACGCCGCTTCATTTGCAACAGAGAACATGTGACTGTTAGATGCATGGGTATGAAAAAGCGGTAGTACGAGGTTGCACGCACAGCAGCAGCCACACTACGCATCAATGTTGTGCACTCGTAAAGGGATGGACGAAGGTTGGTATATTGCGCACAAAATGTGATAGAAGTAAAGTCGAAATCAGGATACAGAGACTGCAAGGCAAATGCCTGATCCGTTACAGCAAGAATTCTACAAACCCTCAAACGTTACATGATCCTTTGCACGTACTGGCCCATATATCAAACGGAAAAGTGAGTTCATCTTCATCACTCGGTTCGCTAAAGACGAAACGGGAGGGCCAAAGGTGAAATCTCCATACAACGGTGCTAACTTGCATTCGAAAATACCAAAAGCGAAATGGAATTACTTGCATAGAAAATACATCCACATTGGCCGGGACTCACATTCAATAAGTCGTGGTTGGTTGTGCCGACGTCCAGCAAGATTGGCAAGCAGTGTTTCGGATGAACACCAGCCAGAGCGGTGTACAACGACAATTTCCCAACCGGAATTCCCATGCCGTATGCGCCCAGATCACCCAAACCGAGGATGCGCTCTCCATCTGTCACGACAATGGCCTAGAAAGGGTGAGAGAAAAAGGAAATGGTGAACTGGTTCGTAACCAAACTGAAGATGCTAAGCTGTTTCACAAGCCTTGTGATATGCAGCGAACAAGTGTGGCTTTAATCGTAAAAGTCGTGGCCGATACCGACGAGTTTGATTTGGTGGTACCGAGAATAACAGCGCTCCCTGGAAGCTCCCCGGTAAATCCATGTGCACAGGTGAGTGTGTGGTTAGAATGTGCCCCAGTAGGGAGTGCAGTGGAGGGTTCGCAGACTTTTGAACGTTTCATAAGACGAATTTGGTGAAAAATTGCGTTCAAAAAGTCGTGCACCTCATCGCCCTCATGGGACAGAACTGTGCCAGTTTTTCACAACCTCAGCGAAGACAAATGAAGCACCAGATGTGGAGGATGATGTCCCACAGACAGCAAGCAGGTAAAATGTGCATGCACTCCGTCCCATTTGCTAGTGTGCGTCGAAGGAAAAAGCGGCGGGAGATGTATCGATCTGTTGCGGGTGTAGTACGAACACCAAGTGCAAGACACAAGAGCGTGATGTGAGTGTGTGGGTTAAAGGTAACCAAAGTAACTGACCGTAATGCGATCGTGGTTGTTCCGTTCAGTACACCAATACGGGTTCCATAAACGAATTGTACGCGCCACTTTCTCATATTAATTACCCATCACACTTCAAAAGTGTACCCGAGGCTAAATATCTACTCGCACTGGAGATGTACACTCACACAGGATATAGGTGAAAGCAAGTCGGTCCTTGCTCATCTCAGACGGGAATGAGCGTGAAATACCCGAGCAGTCCACAAGGCAACTACTTCGACCGCAATTCGCCTACGTCTGCATCCGAATGTGACCACTGTCTACATGGTAACCTAGCCTAGTAAACGCAGTCAAAACGACCGTCGAACCACCTGAAGCGGCCTGTGCACTAAATAGGCTGCGAAACCGTGTCACCACTAATGGTCACGCCCCGCTAGGCCGTGTCATGCCGTACCAAACGGCAGGTCAAGCTGTGTTGCTATCTCCACAGCATGTACAGAACGCCTGGAGGTGATGTGTCCTTATTCAGCGTGGATGAGTAATCAATCCACTTGGATAGCTAATTGAGGCAGTACAGCGTGTAGAGATTTCCAGTCTCATGAAGAAGCCATTATAAGACGAGAAGGGTAAAAAAACGGACAGTTGCTCAGTCACTAGCTCCTTCCGCTTCGTCGAAGCTGTCGCAATAAGCCGGATACAGCTAGCTCTATGTGTTCGAAAACAATTATTCGTCAGCTTAAGACTGTAATGGACATAGGGGGTGGAACTCCCGTCATTCATTTGGCACCTCAGGCTTGTGTGGTTACACCTATAGTTAAGTGTGTAGTTGCATATCGGTATTGTTAATGGTACTGAGGAGACAATACGACGTGCATACATCTGCCAGCTTTCGTCTTCTTAGCGCATTTTTCAAATTATCCAACTGCTTTCAGCTTGGTCAAAGGATCAGTCAACTGAGTGGTGAAGAGCTGCTTCACCAAAGGGAATCGGTCGAGTGACACATACATATACGCTGTCCACATATAAGCCAGCCTGTGGCAGAAACGACAAGGCGTCTGCGCCTTGCAACCCAAAGATCGTGGGTCAGCATGTGTAGCGGACCGAGCGCGACCCTCAGTAGCCTTAGCCAGCGGCTGGTGGTGGCTGCGTGGCAGCAAAACATCGGTACAGCGTACCGGCGTACTGTTGATGCCATTTCTACATATATATGTTTTAATTATTCGACAGTTGACCAATTTACAATTACCAGAGTGCCACAACACATGGGAAACAACAACGAAAAGGGGAAAACAGGAAGTCAGTAGAAGGGTTAAGTGGGTGTATGTGTTGTGGGGCAGACAGCTTCTCGGTTGTCCAGGCCGAGGAGCAGAGCTGATTTAAGGGACACCACCTCTCGAGGCTTTGGCCATAAATACCTGACCCACAAGGCAGGGGGGCGATTCATGTAACTTGCCGAATACGAATATCGTTGACAGCCAGCGAGGTCATTAGCCTTTTTAATGTTCGATAGCGGTCCACACAGAAGCCGGTGGCCAGCAAGGTTGGTCGTCCGCCATCCGTTAAGAACTCAGCTCTGGTTACAGAAGTGAGTGATCAGTGATCCTACAGCCGGTCACATTGTCTTTGACACAGCTCCGTACGATCTCTTGTGGTAATTTATGGAGAATCAGGTGACCAGCTCAGAACTCCACTCTCTCTGAAACGGTGCCACTCATTGTCCGCTACAGCTTATTTATCTCGCCTGCAAACCAAAAGAGACTTATTCGCAGTTATGTGCACAAGAAAGATATTTCCCAAAACCGCAACTTTGGGACGCGCCCGGTAGTGTAAAGCTCTACTACGGGCCATTTCTACACATGAGCTTGTAGTCCATTCACACGAATGATCCCAGTGACCACTCATCATGCTATTTCAAATTGGTAGGTGGATAGTTGAATAACACTATGCAGGGCAACTGCGGAAAAATAGGTTAACAGAAGCATTAACAGCCCTAGTTTGGAAGATTAAGTGCCGAAGCGTCTAAGTTAACGCAACCAGAGCTGCGCAAGCCGTAAACAGCGTAGTTAGCCGACAATCATCAGAGAACCGACGTGAGGTGTGGGGAGAGGGGCAGTCACCAAAAGATAAACAAAAGTGGCAAGCGACGGAAAAAGGGAAACCTACAGACGGATCGATCGGAGGGGGGGAGAAAGATATGACTGTCGACAGAAAAAGATAACGGCAAGAGATCATATGCGGGAGAACCCCTGACTTCGTGACTGCGCCATTTCGGATAAATTATCTGATCGCTGCTGTGTTCTGCAACGAGGCACCCGCCAGTGATACGGCGGTTTCCGTCCAAACTAGACCTGTCGGTCTATTTCGCTGTGAATTTTGCTATATCGTCTGTTGGCCAAGCTAAAAAGTTGCCATATCGAGAACAGTACACGAAAACACACATCGGAGTAGGCGATCGGCGGGCGTAAGCTCATAAGCGTTATATTCTACGGACTAAAACAAAGCGGATTTGCCGTTCCAGATTTTAATCCTAGAGTACCCAACAGTCAAGACACCGTGATGCAAGACAACCTCGGTTGTTCGGAGCAGTCCCTGAAGGCATCTAAAAATCGCGAATCAACATGTTGGTCCCTTAAGGAGGGCGTTCAGGCGGTTCGACCCCTCCTTCTTTACGCAAATGCTCAAGGCATATGTGAACGTCCGTGTAGTGCACGCGGGTCTGGCAATCATGGTTAAAACGCGATCTGGTGGCACTGGAGACCCCACAGTGAAAGGCATCCTAAATATGAGAAGAACGCTCCACCTGCCACATCCTTTGCGACTGAAAATCCTAGGAGGGTGCAGCGGAAGTTATTGTTATCTAAGAGGTAACCTCATTCTGGCGTGCCAGATATTGAAAAACCCTGCTCATGCCTGCCGCCACTACACAATTGAGGGGTCCGCAGCTGAGGTTGGTCACCCAATACAGACGGGTGAAATGCCGCCGGAATTATTTTTCGCGTCGAAGTTGTCAACCGTGGAATGTTACTTCAGCTTCGGTTATTTCTGCGCCTACGTTACCCATTTTTTAAGAATGACTCGACGGTGCAGTACTTGGTTTGAATTCGGCTTATCGAATAGCGACAAGACACAAACAAATATTGTGGTTACCAGGCTCCATGAATTCTGAGTGAACGGATATACATGTGTATTAACTTGGATAACATGGCGAGCTCACGAATGCGCGTTGCAACTTACTGTCAATTTTTTTGAACACATGTATTTCACACAAACCATCATACGGGACCTATCAAGCTTTCGTTCTTTTTGAAAAGCACGGTAAGAAGACGAAAGCTGGTAGATGCATGCATTCCGTATTGTCTTCTCAGTACCATTAACAATAACCGGTATGCAACGATATACTTAACTATGGGTGTGACCAATTAAGCAGGAAGTGCAAAAGGAATGACGAAAGTTCCACCCCTATCTCCACGACAGTCTTAAGCTGACAAATAATTGCTTTTGAACACACAAGGCCGGCTTCATCCGGCTTATCGCAACGGCCTCGGCGAAACGGAGGAAGCGGGGATTAGGATGACGTAATACAAGTGTGAACGCTGATCCAAGCTCTATCCGATGACGCGTAGTCAGTAGGTGTTTATCTATTGAGGAAGCTGACGGCTTGCGCAAACACGGAACTTCAGTGGGACAGGGATGCTGGTCAATTTCATGTTGAACCCACCTTGGCACATGTTCCTTTATTCGGGAAGTCAAAGACCGATTGGTTCTGCCTATGTAACTGTCTCCGCAGTCGCACACAAATTTGTTTATGCAGTGCGAGTTGGCCCCTATCGGTTGAGCTTTCTTTGTTGGAGGCACCGGCAAGTTACAGGTTCTATTGATGACCACAACCTGAGCAGCACAGTAACTTCTTTGCGTAGCAGAGATTAAACGTTTCGTGGTTTTCGATACAGTAGTCATCCTTGAAAGGGAACTCGATATAGATCTTTTTTTGCCCGTATTATACCATTGTTCCATTGATTCTCTTCGAACGTTTACATCACTACCTCCACGATGAGTCCCGATATTCGGGATCCCATCGCGGTTCGCTCACCTACCCAGAGATCACTCAAGTGAAGGTGAAGTAGGTCGTAAGGCATAAGTCGAAGGGGTCACATATGCTTGTTTTTGTCAGCTTCCCGATTAGTTGTCCACTGTAGTCCAGGCGTTGTGGGATAGGTTCTTTCGCTAGTTCAAGGTCAACACAAGTGAACAAGGCAGTGGCGTCAAACGACATCATTATTTCTTTGTGGTCTATTCACGTGTATGTAAGCTTTTCAAGAAATTGCGGAACACTGCTTCTACAAAACTGGAACCAGCTCGAGTAGTCTCAGTAATCTTTTGACAAGTAAAGGATGGATTTGCCTTGAAATGACATGGTCTCAGTGGTTCATGGTTTTTGTAAAGTTTCGGAAGATCGTAGAATGCGGGCGGAGATAGCGCCAGTGCGCACAAACCTAGACAGAGAACGATAAGGGTCATCAACCAAAGTTCTTGGCTCAAAAGCCTGTCCGAAAGGCAGCGAAGGTCACAACGATTCGGTTTTACAGAAGTACACGCCATGTCACTTCCAAACCAACCTGGAATAGCAGGAGCCTGAGTTCATCTGACCTCCAAACATTGACTAATCTAGTAAGAATAGTTCGGAAGGGGTCGTAGGGCCCACTCAGTAATTCAATGAGTCAAAGAGGTACGCAAACCGTCGCACCACGTTAAAGTCCAATCTCCAGACGGCTTACACTACTCAGTCAACCGTTAGAGGCCGAATGTATCGTTAGAAATTACCAGACGAGCTTTGTGCCTGAGTTATGCACAGATGAACATAAGGTGAACACAAATGGTCCACAGTTGAGACGATTAGCGGTCGTAGCCAATGGGACGAATTTGTCACGTTTTTAACCCCCCAGTCAAGATGGGATGGGAAAAGGTGAGCGTTTGTTGAGGCATATTTGCCACCAACCGGATGCTGGGGAAATCGGAATTCAAGTGGGTGTCGGTCGAGTTTCCGCAGATCATCCGTATAACCCTTAGTCAGGACAGACGAGAACCAAAGCACAACGAAGTTAAATCTACAAGTTGAAGTGTGAGGTACCGAGTGTGGTGGATTGTGATGACATGATGAACATCGTTGTGTGAAGTCAACAACGGTGAAACAAGAAAAGGGGGAAGTCAAGAGGAGTTGGAAAGGGCTTGCAAAAGAAAACTTCAAAATGGCCGGGCGAGTGGGTTACACAGAACGTCAGACAAGGTCTCCAAACCCTGATGTAGTCGATACGGTGGAGCTCGTTTAGGAAACGCAACATACGCAAGTTTTTGACGTGCCTCATTACGCTTCCCTATCGTAGTCAAGTGTAAGCACTTTTCAGTTTTACTCATCAGCTGTGGTCAATACAAGCGACGCAATTGACGCGGACGCTCGCTATACAGGTGAAGAGGGTGGCTTGACTGGCTCAGGCAGCGCATACTTAACAAGCTATATAGTGCAGCAACAGCCAACGGACATCAGCATTGTGCAGGCGGTGGCTCGACCAGACGTGAGGCTCTGTGGGTGAATATTACATGCAACAAGATCGCAACACTGCGATTTTAACCCAAAACTTCTCGGATATCAGCAAAAGCTCCGCCGTCCATAAGCCAGTTAGCATTTATCAGATGCATTCCCAGTGATCAAATTTGGAAAGTCCGCCTTAGAATGAATCGTGGTCCAGATTGAGAATGCCGGTGACTGGGCCACGTGTTGCGCATGCCAACCCACCGACTCATGCGAGGTGCGTTGTTTGCTCGCCGGGGGTGTGGATGGAAGAAGAGGAGAGGTCGCCAAGCGATGACTTGGTCAAGAGGAATGAAAGTCCATAGTCCGAAGTAGGCCTCAATTGGAGCCTCTCGGCTTCCCGATTGGAGTCCGAAAGGCGATCAACACGTTTGGCTGGATACACTTTTGATATGGCTAGGAGCCGACCTCCATAGCGTTTGTGGTGTGAGTTGTTCTGTCCCTCTTCCTCCCGCTTAACCTCCCCTCTAACCACGATTTCATTTACTGAGGCATAATAGTCGGCTGTTAGCTCTCAGAAACGATGTCCATCCGTTACTGATGACTCAACCGGCATGCCTCGTGCATGTCTTATTGTATCGCAGTGTTTTCCACCTCTAGCTAACATGCATAATGGTGATGAGGATGATGATGATTGAAACTACGCGTAGTAACTCAACACATGCCTGCAAATGACTCCCACTTATTCAACGCTCTGTGGACACAATCGGAAGGCGAATACAGGTAGTCTCTCAGTTTCAACGCTCTATACCCAACTGCGTAAGGTACATGGCAATACTGAATGTGTTGCAGTGCTATACCGTGCGCCTTTGACCGGTAACACATTACTTCAGCAGTTCCGTATGTTTCAAGCCATCGAGAGAAATACGGGCTAATCTAATAAGTCCAGTAACTTGGTTGAGCAATGGACCAGTAAAGATGATGGACAGATCGAGTCATACGGTACTAATGGCCGTGCGTGAAGCCAAAACTAAGTCTGGGCCTTGATCAACATACCGTACACGTTAGAACAAGCTCACTTTATGCCTCGCATCAATCAGAGCCACTCACAAATTGGTTCATTTCATCCGGTCGATCCTCTAGTGGGAATTATTGAAGCACTGTGCTCGCCAGTCTAGATCAAGTATCCACTTGCTGTCATCGATTTGGGGCTATCGATGTGAGGAAGCAATGGGTCAGTCTGGGGTCATTGCTATTCGCTCGATAGCTACCACCACACACAGAAAGGATCAACCGCCTGGAGTGGTTTTTCGGCAATCGTGAGAACAAAGTGGTTCCACTGTTTGGCACAGATGGCACGAGAAAAAACCACAGTGATGACAACAAATGCAGCAAAAGTAGGACTTACTTTAACTTTCGGCTCGGGCCAATTGTTCAGAATGGACACGATGTTGTGACGATCGTGCACAGTAATGTATAATCCCCTGGATAATAAATGAAGGTTGAAGAGCATGCGTCAACAGAGTGAACATTGGAGGGTTGCCATAACTAAGTGTAGGATACGTATTGTGTAAACATGCCCCGAAAATGGACAGATAAATTCATGCCTGATATCACAGATAATCCAGGTACAGTGTTCGACTTTAGACGTGGCCGCTTCCTTCGACCGGCCCTTAGTTCCACCCTAGCTCAGGGGATCGCTACCTGACTAGTCCAGACAAAGGCGAAACCGTCGGCCATGGGGTGTCAGCGTTTGGAGGAGCAACATCGAATCATTTCCATTTCGGATATGGTCCCTGTAATTGGAATGACCAAGGTCTACTGCAAAGAGGTATCAACAGAGATGACCTGGCTCAATCCAACCCCACACGGTGAGTACTCCAAATCGAAGATTGAAATAAGTTGTTATCCATCCACGTGGCTGACAATCCCAGCATATCGGAAAACACGGTGGACCTAATCTGTCTACTCGATGTATTAAACAGTGAAAGGATTCCTCCCTGTGTAAAATGTTTCCAGTGAACAGTGAAGACCCAGGTCGGTACGGGATGTGCAATTGGCCAATCACACGAGTTTGCGAGACACGAATGCGCCAAACCACAAGCTTCACTGGTCTCAACGCTGAGGTTTCGAACATCGAAGCATCAACCACACTCGAGAGACAGCATCAGTGGGACACCAAAGTAAGGTACGTATCAAAATGAGGATGGATGCGGGAGTATACCAAATTTCTTCGTCGGTAGCATAGCACTGATTGGAGTGCTGTCGGTTGGAGAAGTATCTAGGTTACCTACGGCCCAGGAAATAATCCGCGGTGGCCGGTTTGCAAAAGGGGTTTGGCACAATAGCGTAGCTATCCGGTCATCGCTTCTATAACAAGCAGTTTAACTTTGTTCCTCTACATGTCACCGACTTGCTCCCCTTACATGTGTGTGCATCGTTAGGAGTGTGGCACTCACAGATGAGAAAGATGATCCAACTACCCCCTCCCCTCGCAAATGGGTCACACGCATGGGTTCGTTAACTGATGTTATTTATACCTTTTGTCAGTCAGTTGCATCCATAACACTTTCAAAGTCCTTCTTAAGGAAATCATGTTCCTCCATAGATCTCCTTAGCGCTATCAAATTGCGCGCCAAGGGCGCGAACGCCCCTAAATGCGTACTGCCCAGACCAGCCGACAGCATCTCACTCTGTGAGAGTTAATAGTGACGGATTTGGGATTGGTCAGTCAAAGAAAACTATGCATTTAGGGGAGTTCGCGCCAGCTGAATGCAAGTTGACAGCGTTAAGGACCATATTGAGAACTCTATGGAGGAAAACGATTTCCTTAAAGAGGAATTTGAAAGCGTTATGGATGCAATTGCCTGAGAATAAGCATAGAGCAGCTCTAGTTGTGGCTGCTCGTTGCTACAAACGAAGGGGATCAATGTATCTTCACAGTATAATAAGGTGACAAGAGAACGAGAGGAAGAACCGCGTCTATCACCTAGGTATGTGAAATCCAGCGAGAACACTGAAGCTCAGTCGATGCGGGGACCAGGACTCGCATTATGAGAAGAAAAAAAAAACAAAAATGTTTGGGAAAAACGGAGGGTTGGAGTACACACAAATGCAACCGTCGGGCAGGGGAGAGAGCTCACGGAAGTAAGAAGTGGGGGCACCGGTGTGGCGCGCAATGCTCCGCTGAGCCCTGAAAGAAGGGGTGCTGAAAGGAGCGATCAACGATCCGCACACATTGCTGGGGAGTAGTGTGTCAACAAGCAAACATGTGCCCAGACTGCTTGTTTAACCTTGTCACCGAGCCGCATAAATGGGTACACTTGTGTGTAGCACACAGTACATACCAGTCCGAGAAAACCCGTGAAGAAGAACCTGAGCTGACAGTTCGATGAGGCAATAGCAACAACGCACTATCTTTGTCGAAACGATGCGGGGTCCCAGTAACCCAACTGACGGGCCTTCACTTCACAGAGAGTAGCGTGTCGCAATGTAACATGTGCTTCAAAATCACCTATCTGACGGAACAAGCATTTTGACGACCATGATTAGCAGTTTAGTGTGTCTTCACGTAATCAGCTGGCGTGTACTGAACTAAACAGAAGGACCAGCCGAGTAGTGACAGATGTTACTCTTAATGATGTTTACATTTCATACTTCGAGACGAATTGTGACAGGGAATGTAGTAATTAGACATATACACGTACACGTAGACGCTTCATGAAGACATGTGTCTAGACGAAGATTTACACCTCAACTTTCAAAAGTTGCTTAGATTGGCAAACACACCACTAAAGCGTATTCGCCATCTGTGCTTATGGTTACCAAGCCTTGATTCTCTGACACAGCTGTAAGACATCGGAAGTGGTGCTAAGTTGCATGCGCTTCAGGCATGCCGAAAGGAGTAACAGTAGTCCGAAAACAAGGTCGAGTGGCTTGAGTGATGATTTTTAGTGCATGGAGACGCATACTACATAGAGGAAAGTTCAGTGATCAAAAAAGGTGCTGTTGGTTCCCCCATCGCACCATCGACCCAAGGGGCATAAAAGACATCCAGGAAATGGTGCTACACCGTCGGATACGATGGGGCTAATTCACAAGATGTGGTCGGCAATAGCAAGGGAAATTCCAGGTTATTGTTCTACTACACCCACCTCCGCACGTGTTTTCTTAAATAACCCCCCGCTCCAACGAACAAATGTTATGTTAGCTCAGTGTTCCACATCTTCGCAGGACAGATTAGCGATTGGTCTACAATGCCATAAGGTCACAACTTTCGTTCATGGCGCATCCCACGCAACGATCCAGTCCACAGTTTAGTACAGACTGTCGCAGCAATCAGAACTTGAGTTTACCAAAGCAGACGCTATTGGGTGAAAGTGCGATGGCGCTGTCTGCACACCCACGTGAAAAAGTACCTCCTGATGGCAAAGATGTGATCGTGAAGATTGGAATGTACGCACCATCGGATTAGACAGACTGATCAGTCAAAAAATGTTCAACTGACCACGGGTGTGATTTCATTCCCTGTTGACGAAATCCAACGAATGAAGCAGGGAAGAAAATTCACCGATCCATAGCAAATGGGATAAAAACGATTCCTGGAATACCATCTCAACAGAAAAGTAAACCATTAGATTAAGTGACACCAAACAGAGACATTAGTGACGGAACTTAAGTCATCGATGAAAGAACCGGACTAACGGTCCTGGTTCAAAGCGAGAGTATAACACAAACGAATTTAGAAGATGACGAAATCCAGAGTAAGTTTCGGCAGCACAGACAGAAAAATGAAGCCAAAGGACCCCAGTAAATGAAGAGCGAGGATAGGTACTGGTTAAAGTGCTCAAAAAGAAAGAAGTGACATGAGCGAATGGGGGGGGTGGTGATCTCCGAAATCCATTTCTACAAATTAGTGAGCCACATAGCAATTATAACCTGGACTAAATATTTGCGTGAAAGAAGACTGTTTCGGTTGCATCTGAATTCGAATGAAAAAACCAAAACAACGCAGTTGAAGATGCTGCTAGCATCCACGTCACAGCAGCAACTAAGCGACCTCCTTGAGGTAAGGTGGTACAGATTGCACTGGGATAGGCAAGTGAACAGTTTAAAAAAGCACATTGATACACACGAAGAGTATGCGAAATGAAAACGCTCATGATGGAATAGGGGCTTCACGTTCATGCCAAAAGCTGTTTATCGAAAACTTCACCCTAGCTAAGCTACGCACCGCAGATCACAGACGAAATAGCAAAAGGACAGGTTTCACAGGTGAATCCGTGGAGAAACACGATCAAAACTCGCACTTGACGAATCACACGTGGTACCTATGAAAACGTACCAAAGTTCAGATCGAAGAGAACGCTCAAGTTTGTGCGACGCTGGAGATCCATGGGATCAGATCAAGCCATAGTTTCTTCAGTGCGGCAACACTCAAAGAACATACACGCAAAGAAGCGACCCATATGTTTAAAAGGGTACGATAGAAGAGGTATGTTTAAGTCCTATGGAACTCAACTATACCATTTCATAGTGGAACCTGAATTCCTGAAGTCGGAATCAATGCACCTCCCACAAGATCGGAGGCACTGTGCATACTTTGCACGTCGATGATCATCCAGCGTGGTGGCATTCGATTTCAAGTACTCGTTCGAGTCAGCGGATCGTTATGCGCTCCAGAACACTCACTAGACATTCTACCATCAACGGTACACCAACACAATGTCAACTTAACAGTGCTCCAAGTTGTAGTGTGTTCTCACTCAGCTTTTCGACGGTCAATTGCATTTCCAAAGTTTCCAAGTTTCTCCATTTCTTAGCAACTATATTGTGATAAGTATTAACACGTAACATGACACTCGTAAGGCGATGATCGAGGTTTTTCCCCAAATACTATAATCATGGGATTAGAATCCATCAGTCAAACTACAATATGTACCATAATTTGCAAAGATTTTGCGATGTCCAGTTGTAATTGGGTAGATTATCATCCCATGAAATTGCTAATACAGAAGACTTAAAGTATCCGACTCGTTCACCGATCGAAGTGTATGTCTACTGAGAATGTGTAATGGAGCGTGAAAGTCCACGCGAGTTTGACACAGCTGTGGCACTGGGGAATGGCACCAAGCAGGTCGAAAATTCTTGTACACAGTCGTCGATGTTGAACCGTCACCGACGGTGCTTGTATCAGAAATTTCGTGGCCCGTGTGCCCAAGCAGAATAGATTCAGCTGCAGTAACTCTCTTCACTGTAACTACCGTGGTAATGATGATAAAAGCGATGCTAGATGAAACTAGCGAAAGAAAAGGTAAGCACAAAAAGAATTGACAACGAGTGACGCAATCGAAAATAATAAAGAAACAAATAGTATATTTCTAGACAGTATGAGACACATACCAACTACGTAGGCTGATCGTTCGGTACATCGTCGGAGAGTAAAGAAAAATGTTCAATTGTTTCAAAGCACTTTCCAGAAGAG